ATATATATATATACATATATATATATATATGTGTGGAAACATACATACACCTACATTGACCTACATACATACACACATACACACATAGATTTATATACAGACAAACATACAGACTTAATACGTACCTTACATACAAGCGTACATATACATACGTACCACATACATACTAACATATCTTAATGTACATATATATGTGTGTGTAGGAAAAGTACGTGCACATACTTTTATCTATACAAGACATATAACACATATACGTGTACCCGATGTGCATACATAACACGTTTGCACACGCATGCACATGCACATATCCTGCATACATGCATACATTCAAGCTTAGGTGCATGCGTACAGCTGTACATCGACAAATGCACACCCACCACCGCCTCCAGCGCATCTACAGGAAATTACACGGAACTGCGGCCCTGCTAGCGGGAAGCTCACTGACAAGCACGACATACAGTTTTCAACGGCGAAGGCTAAAGCAAGGCACAGGCTCGACCCCTTTGAGCAGCTCTGCAGCCATCTCCCTCACCACTGAGTCAACGACCTCCTGCCACGGATGTCGACGACTTTTCGGGGGACGGGTGCGCTGAGTCTCCGCCGACAAATCACCTCACAGTGGGACAGCTTCTCCAATCAGACGAGCATTATTCCAAACCGAGTGCGACATTAAAGCACTAACCCCACCTAAAGCAAAAATCCCATGTAAAAAACCGTTTAGGTCCCCTTACAAAGCATTTCGTATAACAAACACCCCAAACTCCAAAGTCTGCAGCTCGCCCGAGCCGCTACGTTGCCGAGACAAGGTCTGCGCAGAGCCAGGGCCAGCAGAGTCAGGCGACGACATTTGGGCAAACACCTGAAACGGTGTTCAGCGAAATCAGGGTTCAGCTAAACATAGGGTCCTTGATAATTTTCAACGGGTGTTGGAGTTCCTTATAGTCTTATAGCCATGAGGAACCCCCAAATTCAAGTGAAAATTTCTAATACTTAAGATTAAATAGGCAATTCGGGTAAGTTTAGGCCGAGCAGGGCTTCGGGCTTCGGGTTTAGGGGTTGGGGTAATTAAGGTTTCGGGTCCTGGGTGACTATAGTGCTTTGAGCAATTACTGGGGAGGCTCAGGGGACTTAGACTTAGTACAGTTACACTCAGTCAAAACGCGACCCTGGCCGAGCAGAAGCTGAATCGCAACCCCAAGCAAGGCCAGCCCGAAATTCTGAGGACCCGGCGCACTCTGCTGGGAATCCACGAAGGCGCTTGGCTTGCTAATAAAAAAAGCCCCAATGCCGTCCTAGTGGCCTTACTAACCCTTCCCCAGTGCCGTCCTAGTGGCTTGATGCTAACTAAGACTAAGATAAAACCCAGTGCCAAAAAAGTGGCTTTACAGTTTCCCCCGTGCCGTCCTAATGGCTTGATGCTATGCCATGCTATGCGGCTGTGCCCATATGCGTCATATCCTTAAGCTGCCCTCATGATTCCTAAAGCCAAAGGCTTGCACGGCGCGTGCATATCTGCAGAGTCAAAGGTGTCTCAATGTGCGCGCGTGTGTGTGTGTGTGTGTAGGTAGTGTGTGTATACGCACAGAAAAAAAGCGAGAGGCAAGACAGGCATGTGCAATCACCGTGTGCATCTCTGTCTATCTCTGTCTCTCGCTTTCTCTCTTTTGTCCTCTTTTATTCCCTCGTTGTTATTTCTTGTTCTTTTTTGTTTCACTTTGTGTCTCTCGCAGACTCTCGCCCTCTCCCTTCCGCCGCTGAAGTCTGCATTGTGACCAGCCATAGACACATGTAAAATGAAGGCCCCTCTGGTTCCGAATATCAAAAACGAAATCGGATGCAGGGACGTACGGGCCCCTCGATTTTACATTAGTAGGCGTACCCGCAAAGCCGAGCAGAGCCAAACCAAGCCAGGCCAAAGAAAGCCAAGCCAAGCCAAGTCATACCAAACCCGAGCCGCACCAAAAAAAAATCAAAAAACAGCTGGGCCCTTTCAGAAGATTTCAGAACCACCGAGAACACAGATTCTCGACTCTAAACACCCCAGCCGTAATGACAGAACACCCTCCAAGCCATAATTACCGCGCCTTCCTTGGCCCTTCAGGTGACGGTGACAAGCCCAGGTCACCCTCACAGACACCGTCAACGGCAGCCCTGACAGGAAATCACCACCGAAATGAGACACGCCCAGGACTGAGCCGAGATCCTGGTCGGTTCCGCTCTCCATGAATCGGGCCTTCTGCACAGGAGCTCCAAACTTGGGGATCCCATCAGGGCTCGGGAACTGGAGCTTGGGTCTTGGGCTTTGGGGCTCTGATTCTGGGTTCAAGCTTCCTTGTGGCTTAATCCCAGCAACCTGTGTTGAACCCAACCGGGTTTAACACTGAATCCTGGAACTCGCAGGTCCTTGAAGCAACATTCAGGGGATGCTGCAGCTTGGGAGAGTTTATGACAGGCATGGGAGCGGAGAGCCTGCCGCCGCTGCTCCCAGCGCTGGTCGTGCGGTCACGCAGCCACCCTGCGTGACCGTGAAACTCTGCCAGGGTACATGCCGTAAAGATACATGTACCATATAGACACACATACTTGTAAATATGCATATGTAGACATCGAATATAGACATAGACGCATACATAGTGCTTGTATATACGATGCACATATACATTCACACATACAAAATAGAGGAACCGAATCATAGGTTCGCGGGTTTAGAACATACCGACACACATACATATAGACATGCACATACAAACACATATACAAATACCTACCTGTGTTTGTAAATAGTGCACATCTCGCTTATCTGTCTCTCCGTCTACATCTACCCATGCATACACAGGCACGTACATGCACCGTAAACTGTAAACACATCACGGCAAGTTTCAGTTTCCAGCCTTACAGACTAACCTCTGTGAATGTAACCAACACTGTTGGTGGCTCGGTTGAAGTTGAACCAACCTGCACCTTGGACAGTATCGACTGTGAGTAGCGGCTAATCACAGAGTAGCATGTAACTGCAATGCGGCAGCACTCGCACAACTGAGTCAGTGAGGAATGCCACAGAGCTCTATGGGCAAGACATTAGGTGCCGTTGAGGCCGACACTGAAGCTGCATAGGTCGCGACTCCTTCTGAGCCACCAGGTTCGCTGACGACCTCGTGACTTGATTCGTCAAGTCGGGAGCTTTCTGGTAGCCGCTTATGTTCGGAACAGGAGGCGGTAGATTCAGTTGTAAGATCATCGGGGCAAGACTGGCATGCTGGTGGTTGGGCCTTCCGCGCTACTTGTGACCCTGCACCATGGCCATGCAGCAACGCACAGACTATCTGCATCGATTTGCCTATGGAGCCCCTGCCGATTCGCTCAAACTCAGCCTTTGAATAAATGAACCATCGGCGCGGCTTCAGTCGAGCCGCAAACGGTGAAGAGCCTCAAAATCATCCGCCAAGCAGAAGACGCAAATTACAACACAGCCCCCACCAACAACGGCACGACTTGCAACATGATTCTCATTAACATATGCTAAACGCAGGTGTGGAGTGTGTTCCAGTCTTGGATCAGGGTTCGAATTCTGCGCAGCAGAAATCAAAATTTGCTTCGGTCCCACACGGAAGGCTAGACGCAAGTGTAGCGGACCGAAACATGTTTCGAAGCACGGACAAAACTCCACAAAGCTTGTTCTAGGAGAGATCGAAAACATGCGTCTTCATTCGTTCTCGGATGCGAAAGAAGCCGTGAAGATCTGCAGATAAGTGTCAAGTGCAAAGTTTGATCTAGGAAGCCTCTTAACAGCCTAGCCTGCCATTTCAACGCAGCTCAGGCAGCAATGGAAGTACCTGCTCCCGTAATTCGGGGACCTCGCATCTAGGCTGCGCACCATTCCTCGTCGATCGCATCTGTTCACAATTCGAACCTTTCACCGTTGGCACTGCGCAAGAGCATGCGGCATGAACAATGATGTGCAGTGGAGATTCATTTGGAAGCACACCCTGCAAAACGTTCGAGCCCTTGGCGAACGTCGCTCGTAATCGCTATGGCTTCAAGGCCCGAAGCCGTTGGAAAAAGAGCTAAGAGAAGCAGGACATGGACCAAAGTTGGAGTCTGTTAGAGCCTTTATCCGGGAAGTCGGCTTGGCCTTAGCTCGTACTTCTCAATCTCTGCACAGTTCTCTGCTCGGTGGGGGTGCTGAATCAGTCGCTGGCATACGCGCGTCGAAGCCAGAGCCCTGACCGACCCGGCAAATCACAACCCACGTAAATCCACAACCCATACTGAAAGAACAACTTAGAAGCCCGGGCCCAACACCGTTGCATTTCGAAAACCCCCGGACTCCGGAGTCAGCTGCGAACCGAGAGGTGCTAACTCATGCACCTGACGATGTTCCCTGCGTCTTGGTGGAACCGACGGCGAATCTCGAAGTGTGTGTTCCATCAGTCTTTTGGGCTCTCCGGACTCTCTTCTCATTGAAGGGTGTCCAAAGCTTGCTTAGCACCTGATTGTTCGGGTGGAGTGGACGGGTTCATTTCTGATGCTAACAGAGAACCAGCAATGTCTGCAGGGGCCCCAGCATTTCAGGCTGCAGCATGGCCAGTGGGCCCAACAACTTCTAAACTCTCAAGGTGCACTCAACTGTTTAACCCTGGCGTGGCAACAGAGAAGTACGAAGATGCCTTATATGTCAGCCTGCCTATCTAGCTACTTGGATCTATCCATCTACTTGGACTTGTTAGCTCTTTATCTCCGCTCTGTCTGGCTACATACGTGTCTGCGTCGTGAGAGCCTCAGGCTTTTTGGCTTGGCGGTTTGCGACGGCTCTGGAGCCAAGAATGCAATACCGGCTGAAAAAAAAACACAGGAGTTGCATACGCAGCCGACAAGCATGCAACGGAGACAGACCTTCGCATTCCTGCACTAGCCAAGTGTCTCACATAAAGAGCTTCTTTGATGCGGGGGTTCAAACGCCAGTCACAGGTGAGACCTTCTGCAGGGATGTACTGCCAGAACTAGAGCATCCCCGAAAACGCGCCCCTCTGTGCAATGGTGCCGGCATTCATGATCACCGCGGCCTGCAGGTCAGGCGGGCCGGAGCCAAACATCGAACCTCCCCCAGCTATGCGCTTCGAGGGGCTGGACATGCCCCTGCTTTGCTGCCACGTGCCTGCAGAGGGATCTGCCTGATGGTGGCCATCGGCCCCACAACATAGCTCGAGCCTTCGAGAATTTTCCATTTACTCACCACTCACCAAATCTGCTTATACTGTTCTGGAAATCTGAGGCAAAGGCGTGCTGCAACTACGCGTGGCACAAGAACAACGTGCTGCGCCATTGGTGCGAGACCGCTCTGGCCTGTCATCAACCCAGGACGGTACGCCTGGGATGTACAAGGGTGGTAAGTGTGCGCGGGTCCCAGAGGTCAGGACATAGGATTCAGCGAGGGCTGGTAACTAGGGAAGGGTTTGTATTGAGCTTACGGCTCAATTTCTACGTTTAGGGTTACTTTGCTCTTGCGACATAACTGGCCGATCCCGTCGCGGTATAAGGGTTGAGAGTTGAGTTGTTTAACACGGTTTGACTACTGCGTTCCCCCGTAGCATGCTCGTGTTTGGAAATAACCAGATGCAACTGGTAACCAAGTAAATCTTTTGGTATGATATGGTAAGATCAATTTTTGCAAGCATGTGTTGTGGCCTTCAGCAACGCTGCTTTGCAAACACGCAGGATGTGCGCTTGTGCATTGCAATGTTACAAAGCTGCAATTCACACGACCCAGTTGCGTTCGGGACATTGCAGGCCTCGGCACCCTGTGACAACGTAGCCAACAACAGGCGCTCGACTCTGGACCGGGAAGCGTACGACGCCATGCCCAGGCATGTAGGGAAAGCCGTGAAGGGACATGCTGGAGATGTTCGTCGGAGCGACAGCAGACCTGCGACAGAAAAAATCGAGCAGCCCGAGCGCAAATGATGGGTTTTGCATGGGCCTTGCCATTCCCTGGCCTGGCACCTGAGACCGGGAGATCACTCTTGCTGCGTCGCACTGAATTCCCCTGGTCTGTTCAAGAGCAGAACTGCAAACGAAACCTCAAATTACGGCCGTAAACCACCGACCAGGCAGTCCCAAAGCCTATGCAGATTGGCGAAGACACACCCCTCTGGGCACATAACCGGAACAGTTGGAGGCTGCAGAGAAGCGATTTGCCTGTCCACCTGGCAGTTCGGGGTTTGCGGTGGGTGATGCTCGCCATTCTGGCACATCGAGTTCAGGCTTGTGACCTGTTGAACTGATCGGCTAGCCGGGCTGACGGTGCCAACAAGGCGGACGACCAGTGTGCCAGGCTATGAGAAGTAAACTGCGTACGACCAAAACATCCCATCGTCCTTACCAAATCTGCCGCTAGGCCTGAATATTGAATAGACCAGTTCCCGGGGCCTAATACTACAACGATGTTGAGGCTGTACAGGAACAGTGATACCTTGAGGTCAAAAAGATTGAGCCGACGAAGACAAGATATTGAGTTGCCAACTTGGAGTTCCAAACTTCACTGCTTCGTGAGTTCCAAGCCGGCGCAACATGTGGTCGCCATGGAGATCAGACCGTGCGTCGATGCATTGCCGACAAAACTATATGAAAACAACTGTTCATAGTTTGAGAACCGCCCTAGGAATCCTGCACAGGTGACCTTGTGTCCAAAACGCCACTTTGCACTTGAGGCCTAGTTTGCGTGTGCCTGCTCCAGGCGCACAGTAGCCTTTCTGCGATCCTGTGATCCAAGATGAGTCATGATCGACAACAGCAAAGTCATGCAAAAACTGCAACAAACCAATTGCGCTTCGATAATTCTGACGTTGATGCTGCTGCCTGCTAACGCACCAACCTCCGTTCTGATTAATGTCCAAGGGGCATTTCAGGCCGGTGCCGGGGTGGCGTTTCAGGTCCGTTCGGATCCGCCCAAATTCGTTCCAGGATGTGCAGGATTGCGTTTCACACCCCGAAAGAGGCCTGTCACTGCGAGGTGCAAACGTCAAAACCTGAGGGGGCCATCGTTTTGACCGTGATAACCACCATCCTGGTTGATGGGCGGACTTTATGAGCCGCCTTCGACATCGCTTTAACAACAGGTGCCAAAGTTGGACCCCCTGAAGAAATTCCAAGGGAAAAAGTCTTGGGACAACATGCCTCATTTACTCCACGAAGACTTCTTCGAGGCTTGGTTCAAGTCCTTCGGCAGCTTAGCCTTTGTGAGGAAGCGCACGATGAGCTGGCGACCTCGGTGGATTTGAAGGCTTCTGATTCCAATGAATGCCCATTTCAAATCGCGGAGTTTGCTTGGGCTTGCTAGACAGCTTGTGCACGTGCGGGAGGCCCTCGGGCTCTCAGGCATCAGTGTGTACTCCAGCAGCTCTCGACTCGTGGCCACTGCCGACGATGATATGGAATTCGTAAGCTATTGCCGGACTAAAGTCTTTAGGATTGGATCTTGCGGTGTACACGTGTTGGGAGACTCGGCTCAGGCACTGGCACTCCTCGTACTTCCGCAAGGCCGCTGCCCTGTCCTGGGGTGCGAGGCTTCCGATGCTTCGGCTTCCGTGGCAACGTCTGTCCGTCCATCTGCCTTGTGCAGGAAGTCGACAGTGCCAGGCCAGGTACAGTACCAAGAAACGATACGGACACAGCGTCAGCCTGTGCTAGGATGCCGACGCCAGTGCGCGCGGCTCGCAAGGCCTCCTTCTCTACTGAGCGACTCTGAAAATCCTAGATCCTCTCTCAGTCGCAGGCCCCCCCTGATGCTCTACAGGAGCTGCGCCGTGAGGCCAGCACTGCGCACTTGCAGCTTCATGCTAATTCAGGAAATACATGTATGCTATATGCTCATAGTGTGTTCTCTAAGTTTGTGGTCAAGGCATCCGTACAAATGGTCGTCATCGTTCGCTTCGTCGTGGCCCTTGCGGTGGCGGCAATTGCCGTGGTGTTTGTGCCGCTTGCGTAGTAGCGGCCGCGGTTCACGACACTGCCACAGTGCCGCAGCATGAACGCAACAGTGCAAGGACCTTCGTGCAGTCGCGTTGCTTGCTCGACTTCGTGGCGTTTTGAGTGCGGGTGCCAATACGCAGTGGATGCGAAGACGGCTTTGAAGCCTGTTTCACTGCTGCTTGTGAACCTGCATCTATCAAGTGCTGCCTTGAAGCCCCTCCAATCCCTAAGCCCAAAAGCTGCAACGCAAGTCCTTGCCGCAGCGTCGCGCGGCTGCCGCAACTCGGCTGTTTCAGGATGGGTTCGGGATCCTGCTCCGCTTCGTGCTGCTTAGGGATTCTTGTCCAAAGGCTGCCATCATGTCTGCCCCATCATGTCTGCCAAGCGGCGCGAAGACGCCGTGTCGGAAAGCGCCTCCGCCGCGGCACGCGGACTAACTGGCAGCAGGTTCGGCCTCAAGGAAACCCCCCATCCAGTTCAGGAGCAGGCTCAGATTTAGATTCAAGTCTTGTGCGGCAGGGTTTCAGATTCACGGCTGAAGTTCAATCACTGCCGGATAGCGAGAAAGGTTTCGGCTCCAGCATCGAAGATCGCTCGGGACCCAAAGCACCAAGTGTTCTTTCTTCGGTGATGGGCACATCGTTCGGAGCCTTCCGGTCGTCGGTTCCTGTCTTGACAAGCCTTCTAAGGCAGCTTCGGACCAGTTACAAGCATCGACTCGGGTCACATGTTTTCACGTGGCAATGCAAATGACCATTGAGGGCCGAGCAAGCCGTCGCTCTCGACCTACTAAACGATCAGGTGGGACCGACAAATTAGCAACTACCTATGCACCTGACGCTTCCCCCTCTCCTAGCACCCACAGTCGCCTTGAAAGTAAGAGCATTAGGAGTAAGTGGGACTGTCAATGGCGGTGCTCGAAATACTGAAAGTAAAGGTAACACTAGACATTAAGACCTGTCGCGGAAGGCAAGGACAAGGACATGCGTGTCGAAGCATGATACCACTTATGATAACGCTCTCACTCTTCTCCGCCGCCGCTGCAGGCTCGGGCGCACCGAGAAGCACATGCTTGACTGGACGCCCTGGGCCAGGACCTCGTAACGGCAATTGTTTATCTGCCGAGGCCGGAGGCCTGGAGCCTCTTAATCTAGCTCCATGGGACCATGTCCTTACATGGCACCTTTCCTATTTTTTGGTTCTTTTTTGGCAGGTCCGGTACTCCCCCACACTGCACCGCGCCCGCCCCCGCCTCTCCACCCGCCCGCCCCTCCTTGCCCCATACCGCCTTCTTTTCCGCGGCCTTCGCGCTACAATCGCTACAAATAGCGATTGAATTAATCCGGGGCCGCGTAGCGGTGTACGATTATTAGTTCTGTTATTACGTTATTACTATTATTATCGTGCCGCGACTGATGGGCTGCGCACACAGGCCATCGTCCGGCTAAGCTCCAGGCCACCACTGGCTGAGCATTAGGCCAACCCTGCCTGCAAAAGACTCTCACAATCAGACGTGTGTTGCTCCCAACAGCATCCTCGCTGAGAGCCGCACGCTCAAGTCTGCCTCACGCAGCAGGTCGGGCGTAGCAGCAAGCTCAGGATCGCAGACTACCAAGAGGGGAAGGTGCCGGGTCTAGTTGCTGGCAGCGCAGCGCCACCCAGAGAAAATGCAAAACTCTAAAGCAAGAGGGATTGCAGAGGAAAGTCTTCTTGGCTGATTCCAATTGCTCCTAAATGCCATGCATCCTTCCTACCTCGACTTGTTCCGCTTCGCCTTGAAGGGAAGATACGCAACGTCCCAAGCAATGCACGGGGAAACACAGAAACCATAAGCAAAAGGCATGGACAACGGATGGGACAATCATTACACCTAGCACTCCAGTCTTGCAGCACGCAGGCTCTGCATCCTGGCCCAGGACAAGCAAACGTTCTTGCAAACTCCGACATGCTGACCCTCTGCATGATTGGATTGCAGTATGCTTGCACACTGCGTGCCCAAACTGGGTAGCAAAAAACCTGTTGCAGTTTGCGGCCCTCCCGCCTGATAGACCTCCAAGTCTTGGGGGTCCTGTGCTGCTGAACCTAAACAACAACCCCTTATTACCGTGGCATGCCGTGGTCTGTGGGGTCAGTATGGTCTCAAGATGTTGCACATAGGCGGATACTCTGGCCGTGAGACAAGCGTTGTTTTGCTGCGGGCGTTTCGTGCAATCAGTGTCTGCTACTCCCCGCCCCGGTGACATCCTACACGGCTCAGGCAAGCTCGCACAAAACCAAGCCCAATCAACGTGCACATGTCGGAGATTCCAGTGCCAATACTTTACGGTATAAAATCCTTCGTGGCTACTCGTAGAAGAGGGCTGCTCCATGAATACGGACAACACGAAGGAGAACAGTGGAAACCCTGGAGGCATGTCAAATCAATGTAGCGTTATGTCGGGGCTTACAAGCTAGTTCTATTGATCCTGGAAGTATTTAACTTAGGATTTGAATAGGTTTCGAGTAGGAAATGAATAGGACCGCATGAAAATCCGAATTAGGAAACGAATAGGAAATGAATAGGAAACCATTAGAACCAGCCATCCGAGGAGCAGGCAAAATTAGAGAAAGCTTCGGACCAGGAAAAGGAAATAAATAGAAACCAAAATAAGGAATATACCACACAAAAGTAGGACAGAATTCCCAACAAAAAAAGGAACGGTCAGGACAACACAGAGGAACAATATGAAAATCCTAGATTTTGTTTATTTTCCAATTATTTTCCTACTATTTTCCTATTCTATTCCTATTTTTCTTTAATTTGAGAGAGAAAACTGGAAAAAATAGGAACAAAATAGGAAAATAATAAGAAAATAGGGAAAGCCTCTGATTTTCCTATGTGTTTCCTAATTTTCTGTCTAATATTTTCCTACTATGTTCTTGTCGTATTCCTATTTGTTCCTTTTAAAGAGAAAATTGAGAAAAAAGGAATAAAATAGGAAAGTAATAGGGAAACAATAGGAAAATGCGCAAACCTAGGATTTTCCTATCTGTTTCCTAATTTTCTTTCTAATAGTTTCCTATGGTTTTCCTATCTTATTCCTATTTTTCTCTCATTTTGAAATTAGGAATAAAATAGGAAAATAATAGGAGAATAATAGGAAAATAAGAAAAACCTAGGATTTTCCTATTTCCTAATTTTCTCTATAAATTGGAGGAAAAAACAGGAATCACATAGGAAAACAAGAGGAAAGTAGAGGAAACCTAGGATTTCCTATTTAAAAGAGGAAAATGTATTAAAACC